TTAGCTTGGAATACCGTGGACTTCTGATCAAACCAGAGGGTAACATCCAGATATTTTCCTCAATGAGATTATATTCATGGGAATTATTTCGACAGAAAAGAGATATGCCAAATCTTATGATTTTCTACTTAAACATCTGTAAATTATTCATAGAGAATCAAAACATTCAAATAACTGCTAACTTATCATAGAATATTCTTTTTCATCAAGTCATCGCAATAAACATTGTCTTTTATTATCACATGCCAATCTAAAACAGACTGCAATTTAATGATTTGGCGAGATACACTTTTCCATGTAGCTAATGTCTTGGGCCTGTAAATCGACAAGTGAAAAACAATTGGGCGACATTAAAATGAAAATTAACATCACCTGCAGGGTCTCCATTCTGAACAACCATGATTTCCAGATGCTGTTTTTTTTTTTCAAAAAGCCTTCAGAATTTTTGAAAAGTTACACGATGGAAGTGCTTACATGTGTGCACCTAAGCAGTGCTGTAGGCTCTATGCTGACAGCCTGTACTATGTTGATCTTGCTTTGAAGGCTTCAGCCTGTCCAAGTATATAATGCATGGCCTACATACATAATGTAGCTTATGCAGAACTGGGGCAAACACGTGTGTGTCTGTGTGAGGGAGGTCAAGGCTAGGTTTTATATTTCTCTCAAACAGGCATTAAACAGGCCACAATTTCAAAATAATTTGAACACAGATGAGCAATATTTTGCATCAGTCTGGTTTGAGCAGTTGCTAGTTGGTGTAAAAATGAGGCAATGGACAATCTTTTTAAGGTCTGTTAGCTGCTGTTTATTTTGTGCAGGGCCTCAGGGGTAAGGTGTATGTTACTACAGTCTGTCTGCTGCATTTCCTTCCCTTAGGCTTCTAAAACTCTTTCTATAAATGAAGCCTTTGTGCGATGAATTGTCTGACCTTTCAAATGTGATAAAAACTTTTAAAGTTATCATCAGACTTGACATTGTCTATAACGAAGCTCGTTATGACAATTGATAATTATCTAGTATTTGATATTGGAGTTCATCTTGTTATGAAATCAATGAATTGTACCAAAAGAGATGTACTAAGTAATTAATAAAAAGAGGTGCAAATTAAAGTTACCAATATACTTTGTTAAGGTGAGATTAATTGTTATCCAGTCTTATATGTTTAATTAATTAAAAAAATTAATTGAAAGAATAAACAAACTGTTAGGTATTAAGTGAATGGTCCTTAAGTCCTAACAGACCAGTGTTAGACAATGCTGTCAGTCATGACCTATAGGCTTATTAACGTTATTCCCCTATAGGGCAAATTGTGACAGGTTGTTTAAACTTAAGGTCAATGACCTCTGGTAGAAATGTCAATCACCTGACGCCCTCGCTGGTGATGAGGATAACGTTACAAAATGTGTAATTCCCATTTTTCCCCTGGATGAATGAATACCGGGATGTGTTTCATTCGTTGGTGACATTTCCTTAAAACGGAACCGGATGAAACCAGTTCTATGCTATGAAAACATGAACTTTCCACTCCCATGTTAAAGTCCCCTCCCTCCCCTCTTGAACAACGTGCTGCGATTTCAACAAATCTTTGCCGGTTTTCTGCTGTTTTTCATCAAATGAAACGGAAAACATTCAGTTAAAAGCATCCCATTGTGAATGACGTGGTTTGTCACAAATTTCTGCACTTGTGTAAAACCAAAACATACCTCGAACGCTGCCTGGTTTCGCCATATCAACGTCCAATTTAAATGTCTGTCAAACATGACATTTTGGGACAGTCTATATTGCGGTTTCCTCCCTCTGGAAAACCTTCATATTTTTCATTTTTTATCATTTTCCTTTAAACACTAGATAAGTTTACTCTCAGAGCATAAAAAAGAACTGGGATTACATTTACAGG